AGGAAGTACGCACTTAATTGTTTCTGAACTATACTACTTTGTATGTTCATTCTCCTTTCCTTTTAAATCTCCAATTTAGTTGCAAGTATTTTATTTGTTATCATTTGGCTTCTTAATAAGAAATTCAGCAAGCAACTACTCGACTGATGAGAGAGATGTTGACAATTTTTGCTGCAGTGAGGTGCATTCTCGATCATGTTAATAATCTGTATCTAAATTATTCAGATGTGAAACTCATCCTTCTTAAAACATCTGCAACACATATGTGCACTCCGAAATGGTAAAATATTTGCATTCTATAGGCCTTCAAGTTTGTGTAGCATCCCCATATTTACCTGGTTAGTGTATATGTTGGTATGCATTTTGCCTGCACAAGATTGGAAATGGTGATAGATTTGCACAAGACTACTTGCCACTTCTTATAGGATTGGTGAAAGAAGATGAGTAATTGCTGAAATTTGATGTTCTGTGTACAGAATCAAGACATGCCACTGTAGATGTTTTTTTTAAAGGCAGCTAGCTACTTGGATTGCGCAAATCAACAAGAACTCCCTCATATAGCATCAGAACTAAGGTTATTCTTAATTAAGTAGCTCACAAGATCAGTTTAAGATTTTTTTTCACATGAAAATAATAACCTTGAAGTTCAAATCTTCTATTGAAACTCCTTTCCTATGTATGAACCTCAGGAGACAACTTCCAGTAGACCTGGCCAATGGAAATCTCAATTCTCTTAGCCTGTAAGCTCAGCTCTCAATCAGGTATTCTATTCGTAATTCAGCGAATTTTTTCTGAAGTTTTAGGCCTAACTCCCAAACATCTTTTGTCAAGAGTAAGAATGTAGCTGTTGATGGTTGCTTGCTGAAGAAGAGTGGTATCAATATTACCATAGAAGTAGATGTTTTTCGAATTATTCTTGATTTTCTATTGTGTTAATATCTCTCTGCTCTGTTTTTAATTGGGAATCCTTGCTCCTTGGGTCCCTGTAAATTGTACAAAAGGTAATTTATCTGAATTTTATGGTCTTTTAGTTTGTTCTGAGCCTCTGAGTTTCCTCAGTTCTTCTGTACCTTTTCTTTGTTGGTTTACATTTATTGGATGTTCCAATGTTATTCTATGTTCATATGTGCAATCGGATTTACAAAACAACAAGCAAAGCAATTTATGAACGTTGCATTTTCTATTTTATCAATGTTGCATTTTCTTAGTTGTCGTTAGTTACCAGATGTGCTAGAACACACACGCATGTGTGCGATTTTGCCCTGGCTTTCTGATTTCTGAATTGAAACGAGTAGGTGCATGGGTTTCTTGACAGAGTCAAGTAGTGGTGCTTTGAGCTTGATGTCCCGTGACCCAGTTCCTTGAACTGGCTAACCCTTATTGATGTCGTATGTCCTGAACTAACTCTCATGACCAAGTCCTCAACACGTCTGACCCTCACAGGCATGTTGTGCCGTGGCTCGATTCATTGCATTGTGATTGAATACATTTAGACACATTAGGATTAGGCGGTCGCCAACATCAGTGAGGGTGGTGAGGAAGAAAAGCGACGACATGGGTCGGCACCGTGTTAAAATAGAGGACATGGACATGTGAGGGAGTCTTGATCCACGCTTATGTCTTAGGGGCATGCGATACTTTTTTTCCTCCCGTTGCAACGCACGGGCAATTTTCCTAGTAAGATATTTAAACTTTTTCAAATCAGCTAAATATCAGTCAACTGACTTTAGCATTTGGGTCAGTCGATTTTGAGATGATCGGAGGGAAGCCGAAGGGGAGGAAGTAGAAGGCGGGGAAGGGGGGTGGGGCGGAAGAACGAACAGTGGTTGAGGTGGCAGGACGGCGGTGGTGCAACTTCGCCGGAGAAAAACCCGGTCATCACCCAGGGCTAGCTAGAGGGATGGCCGGGGGAGGCGGCAAGACCAGCGGTGGGTGCGCTTCCTGGGAGGGGGCAGGAAGCCTGCGTTGGAGTGCCGGCCATGGGTAATGGTTGCAGGAGGTTTGCCCAGCGGCCCGTGCGGCGATTTAGAGAAGGAGAAGAGTTGGAGGAAGAAGAAGGGTGCGGCTTCCAAAACAATCGACTGTGCCAAATTTAAAAGTCAGACGATTTACGTGTAGCCATGCCCAAACTTAATTTATTCGAATATATTTAGACATATTTTAGTGTGATTGTTCACTCAATTTAGTGTACATGCATACATGTAGTCTATATTCAAATATTTAAAATATGTATACATGAATAGTCCTTTGTATCTAAAACTAAAAGTGAACACTTCTTTGTGGTGACTTCTGATTGTCACGGTGTGGTGATTGACATAATCCACAGGACAGAAGATCCTCTTGCAGAGATCATACATGAAATCATAAAAGTAGCACTAGTTTTGTTTAATTCCTACACTTTTGTTTATGAGCGTCGAAACTTTAATTTTAAAGCTCATAATCTTTTTAAGTTTGCTTATAATTTTGGAGCAACTCGATAATTGACTGGGTAATTCTCATGATGCGAACCATATACATATAAAACATTGTTTTGAATCAGTAAAGAGGCAAGATTTCTCAAGAAAAAAAGAAGGTATCGGTCTGCTCCAGATCGCAACGATGTTGTTGGGCCTCCCGCACCCCGGTGCGGTGGTAGGCCTGGCCATGGGA